GAATTCCGATTATGATTTAAGGAATCCTATATGACGTCCGAAGAGTACTGACTGGGACCCAAATAATTGGGACTGGGATCATAAGAATCTTGTACGTGATTCATCACAATATTCCGATAGCCACGAGATACGAATTCTCAATAAGATCTTGAGAGTACCGACTGGAATCTGAAAAAAAAAATAATTGGATTTAGAGATTTTAGCATGAAGTACGGATAATTCCAACTGGGATTCTGAAATATCAACTAGCATCTTAAAAACCCTGACCGAGATTCTCCGGAATACACTGACAGCGATCTGAGATCTAATTAATTTGAACTGAGTTATGTAGAATGCTGACTTAGGATCCGAAGAATCAAGATTGCACTGTCTATCCTAACTGGATATGAAGAATCTTGACTGGAGCCAAGATTTTTTTTTATTTGGGATCCAGAGCAATTCGGACGAAGATCCACAAATGGAATGTTGTTCGAAGATTACCGACTGGGATCAAAAGAATCTTGACTGAGATTTATAGAATCGCGAAGGATGTCTAGAGAATCCCAACTGGGAATCGATTAAATCCGATAAAATGAATCCTGATCGAGGGAACTCATCTAAATCTCAATTCTAGATTTGAAGGAAATCTTCAGACTCTTCGTCAATTTTCTTTCGATCTTCTCAGCGTGTGCCCAGCTAATCACAGCAAAACACAATGTTTTCCTGCATCGTAAATAGAGTCGCCCCCTCCGACAGGTATCCGTAGAACCCCTCCTAGGATCCGGTGAATTTCAACTGAAATCTGAGAATTCTTGACTAAAACCCGAAGACCCTCAACCAAATATCAAAAGAATTAAAACTGGGAATAAGAGAATTTCGATAATGATGTAGGGAACCCTAATTTGAGTCCAAAGAGTTGTGACTGGGATCCAAATAATTGGGACTGCGATCATAAGAATCTTGTACGTGATTCTGTACTTTATCCCAGGGTAAAGTAAGAACTGAAATCTGAAAAAAAAGGATTTAGAGAATTCAGAATGAAATGCAGCGAATTCAGACTGGGATTCTGAAATTCCAACTGGCATCTGAAGAATCCTGACCAAAATGCTCCGGAATACAACGACAGTTATCTGAATACTCCCTACTGAGATCTGAAGAATATTTGGACTGATTTTTGCAGAATGCTGACTAGGATTCAAAGAATCTTGATTGAACTATCTATCCTAACTGGATCTGGAGAATTTTAACTGGAATCCAGAAAATTCCTTGTGGGATCCCGATAATTCATACTGCAATTCAGAAAATTCATACTGGAAGTCAGAGAATCTCGACCATGATCCAGATAGTTTGAACGAAGACCCGGAGAATCATAAATGGAATGTTGTCTGGATAATCCCGACTGGGATCCTGAATGGGAATTATAAAATTTTCATAGAAATCCGACTAGATGAATCCTGATCAATCCTGACCGGATTTCAACGAAATGTTCTAACAGGGATCCGGATCTGTTGAAATCCAAGTGCGATTTGAAAATTGACTAAAAACCGAAGAATCACGAATTAGATGCATTGAATGCAAACTGAGATCAAATAATTCCGATTATGCTTTAGGGAATCCTATATGAAGTCCGAAGAGCACCAACGGGGATCCAGAGAATTGAGATTGGGAACATAAGAATCTTGTACATGATGCTTTACAATATCCCCGTTAGAGATCTTGAGAATTCCCAATGAGATATGGAGAGCACCGACTGGAATCTGATAAAAGAGTCAGATTTAGGGAATTCAGAGTGAAGCACGGAGAATTCCGACTGGGATACCCTGTGTTTACAGTGATCTGAATAATCCCTTTTTAGATTTGAAGAATATTTGGACTGAGTTTTGTATAATGCTCACTAGGAGAATCTCGACTGGAATCCATAGCATTCCTTCTAGAATCCAGAGAATTCCTACTGGCATTCCGAGAATCTCGACTGGGATCCTGAGACTTCCGACGATAATCCGAAAAATCACAACTGGAATGTAGTCCGGTGAATCTCGACTAGAACCCAAAGAATATAGACTGAGATGACTAGAAGCACAAAGGAAGTCTGGAGAATCTGAAGAAGCCAGACTAAAATTCTACGGAATACCACAACAGCGATCTGAAGAATTCCTACTCAAATCTTGAGAAATAGTCATAGTTTCTGTTTTGATTTAGTTTTGGTAGAATGCTGAATAGGATCTGAAGTATCCTTACTAGGATCTGGAGAATTTAAACTGGAATCCAGAGAATTTCTCGTGGGATCCACAGAATTCCTACTTACATTCGAATAATCTCGACTAGAATCCAAAGAATTCCTTCTAGCATTCAGATAATCTCGACTGTGACTCTGAGAATTACAATAAGAATCAGGAGAATCACAAATGGAATGTAGTCCGGATAATCCCGACTAGGATACAAAGAATCTTTAATGGAATTTATAGAATCGCGAAGGAAGCCTGGAAAAAATCGACTGGAAATCAAAGAAATCCGACTAGATAAATTATGATCAATCCTGACCGGGGTTCAACAAAATGTTCCAACAGGGATCCGGATCTGGTAAATGCCTGATCAAGAGTCACCGGGATACCCTGCGAATACAGTGATCTGAATAATCCCTTTTTAGATTTGAAGAATATTTGGACTGAGTTTTGTAGAACGCTGACTAGGATCCGACGAAAAGTGGATCTGAAGAATCTTGACTGGAATCCAGAGTATTCTTTCTGGGATCCAGAGAATTCTTACTGGCATTCAGAGAATCTCAAATTCCGATGATAATCCGAAAAATCACAAATGGAATGTAGTCCGGAGAATCTCGAGTAGGATCGAAGGAAGTCTGGAGAATCCCGACAGGGAACCAATGAATTCCGACTTGAATTTGAAGAAGCCTGACTAAAATTCTCCTGAATACCACAACAGCGATCTGAAGAATCTCTCCTCAAATAATAGAAATAGAAAAAGTCATAATTTCTGTTTTGATTTAGTTTTGGTAGAATGCTGAATATGATCTGAAGAATCCCGATTGAAGTATTCTAACTAGGATCTTGAAAATCTCAACTGGAATCCAGAGAATTTCTCTGACATGCTGAGATCGGGACTTGTAAGATCTCAAACCTAGACCAACATTTCGACGCTGGACGTGCAAGAGACTGTTGAAATGACAAGGCTTCTGATACTATAGACGATTCTTGCTAAGAATATTCGTACAGATTCTTGCTAAGATACCAAATACAAGACACCAGAAACTCATTCCCATCTAGAAATGCAACAGCAAATCAAAATTGACTCTATAGAGACTACCTACCGTATGCGTGATAATGTTTGCACCATTGAGCAATGTCAAAATCTCGATCAAAATTTTAAAAAATCTCAAGAATTTCGTTTTTGAGTTTTTTTTTTTTTTTTTGTTTATTCAAAGGGGGATGTTTCTCAGAGTCTTAAACTATGGTAATCATCGATCGAGTTTCCACTTGCTGCAATTACGGCCTCCACACGCTTCCGGAATGCACGGCAGGTTCTAATAATGTAGTCTGGATCCATTTCTCTCCAGGTACGGGTCACTGTTTGTCTGAGGCTTGCTGTACTCGGGTGGCGTTTAGAACAGGCCACAGGCCTGCAACCACTTCTGAGTGCGGTTCGAGATGTGGCACGGAGACCGTACTGTTCTTTGATCCACGGAAGAATATACTTACTTAAAATCCTGATTTAGACCTCCGTGTTGACCTTATCGCCTTCTGGAATGAACACCGGGTCCATTTTTTTTGCCATCGGAAGCCACCAATCCAAACACCATAACGCTAGCAGGATGCTTGGTCAGATACACGTTCTTGTGCTCGTCGGCCACGGCTTTTACCGGAAGAGAACTAATATACCGGTCGGTTCTGAAATTTGATACGGGATCGACGGTAAACATGCTCTCGTCGGTGAACAGGATTACCGGATTTTTTCGCTTAAGGAAGTTCAAGATTTTCTTGCATCGTTCGACTCGTAGCTCCCGGATGCGGTTGGTAATCATGTGAGTTTTTTTTCCGTGCCCTCGACTTCGCCCCGCAATCTTCCTTTACGATCTTCCGTTCCGTAAAGTCACTGATCCCGTGTTCCTTTGCCATTTTCCTTATTGAACGCACTGGATTCACCCGAATCTTCCTTATTATAGCAGCGATAACCCTCGGAACCCGAGCTGACCTCGGACGACCTGTGGCAACCTTCGCGGATAGTTGTCCTTTCTTTTCTCGGTCTAAAACCCTTTTGACGGTCCACCGGGACACTCCCACGGCGATTGAAATGTCTTTTTGCGACATTTGCGCGTGGGAAAAATCATGAATACGCTGCCACTTCGTCATGGTGCAACTGTCAAACTAAGTAAATCATTTTCTTTTATACACAGCCAACTACTTTATGAGCTATAGGTTACGTGCATGCAAAAAAAAACCAAGGCATTGTATGAACAGGTGAAACGGGAACCTTCTTTGTACGATGGTGCGAACATTATCACGCATCCGGTATGTCCAAGAAAATGATGAGCAAACAGACATGGGCCGCATGGAAAAGTCACACGCTTCAATTTCAAAGGAAAGCATGTGAACCATTTCCAATTTCCTGCACCCTTATCCACTTCCTCCTTCCAAGGGGTTCGGTGTTCCATCCGACCTTTGTACTGTTTGATCCAACCAAATTAGACACAAATTATGACAAGCGCTTCAGCTTTCATCCGCAAATATTCACTTACACATACTCACACACACACACACACACACATTCGCCTGTTTTGCTTGTTTGCTTCGGTAAATGTTTTGCTTTTGAACTTGCTCACTTCCATTCAGTCGGAATGATTATTAAGGATGATGATGATGATGATGATGTGCTGACGGATCAATTACGATAACGAACTTCGTTAGGAAAATTCGCCGATGTGACATTCGCTCCCCCATTTCTCATACACGTGATTGACATAAACGCTTCAACTGATTGTATATCAATAGCCAATAATGAATGCTTACCTTTCCGAAGCTCCCTTTTCCGATGTTCCTCAGAATTTGAAAGTGGTCAAAGTTAACTGCAAGTAGAATTGGGATAAAATAAAATTCCGTCATTAAAAATGTTGATAAGAACCGTCGCTTAAGCGCTGAAATCCCTTCCCGGGCCCGGACAAGTTTGCAACAAAATCATTAAAATTCATTTCAAGTAGAAGGCCTTTCCGCCTCCACAGTCCAGATTTGCCATGAAATTCCATTCCTATGAGCTTCCGTTGTTGATGATGACGATGATGATGATGATTATGACAACGAGGAGTGAGGGAGGCGGACAGCCCAACCAATATTCCTAGCCACAGGGATTCCGGGCAAAGTGGATGCCGCTTGTTGACATAACATCGAAAAGATTTCAGAAGATTTTCTTCGCAACGAACGGTCGATTCTTAGCCCATGCCGATTACTTAGTACTATGGAGAGCAGCGAGAAGGAGGACCCAAGGCGAAGAAAGTACGACCCGTGTCATTTTGTGACGGCCCCGGATGGCGCTATAGGAGTAGGAAATGGGCTTCGAGTTTGATGGGAATAAAAAGAGTACTAGATAGAGATATGTATGTCTGTTGCCGTAGTGTGAGACAGCATATTATTATAGTGCTGTGTGTGAGTTTACGATCGACTGCCGGAGGAGCAGATGGATCCGGAGCTAATAAATGTACCCTTGAGTATGCGGAATCGCTTTACTGGCACAAGAGGATGAATGACGAAATTGATTGGGGCCGGTCATATGTTGCGGATCGTCTCACTGGGAGAGTATTTGAATACGATTAGGTTGTCCGGAAAATTTTGCCCTACATTTGTCATCCCTTCCCTTGGGGGGAAAAATTGCCTATTTGATGAATGTTAATTTTATACCCCGAATTCTATCCTATTTCTGTTCCAATGTGCCTTTCATTAAATTCATTCCGGGAAATTGCTACACAAATTACTTTTCAAACTTATCGAGTCTCTTGTATAACCGGACATTTCCGTCATGGGCCGTGAGTACCCAATCAACGTGACCCTCCGCTCATCCGACACTCGATAATCTGGAAACTGTCAGTTTAAAAAGTGCAATAACCCATTTGAAATTCTCGGCATATCTGGAGGGTACTCGTATTTTTTCCTGAAGAACATGGAGCTGTCCTGAATTTATCTAATCTCACGCTTATAGATTTTTGAACTCATCCAAAAGTCTGAACTTTCATGCAGCTATTGGAACTGCCCTTAAGATCTCTGAAATTCACCAAAGATCTCTAGATCTAGCTTTCCTGAGGTACTTGGTGCTTCTTAAATGTTTGCACAGTTTTCCTCAAATTCACTCCACATCTCTGAATGTCTTTGACTTACTTTCTCGAAATTCCAAGAACTTCTTGAAAGTTTCTGCACATTTTTTGCAGCTAAAGGAACCGCTTTGAAGTTCTTAAGACTTTCTTGAAGTTCTCCATATTTTCAAGATCTTCCTTTATGTTCCCACTGCCCTTACCTCGGGAGATTTTTCAGATGAAAAAAGTTCAAACTTTGGGGATTTTGTGCCACGACAAATCATGTCCGACTGAACCCAAATTTAGCATATGGTATTTTTTTGAGGCAAGGGTCATTTTCTATATGGTAAGTTTGAAAAATTGGATGGTTACTGTTGAGGAGCAATACAAAAAATTAATCACAACCGTGCGTTCAACATCAAATTCCACAACCGAATGCTGCATGGGACTGTGGAACGTGTTGTACTGTCACCGTCTGGAGGATTGAATTGTAAGCACGATTCCACCACTACAACAGACTAAGAGAAGACCATGTAAAATTAATTGCATATGCACTTTTGTGATAGGTCAAGAACTGAGAAGGCATAGAATTAGGTTTCATTTTTAATTATTAGATACAAAAAGGCCAGCTCGATGAGCAGACGGTCACCGGACCAGTTTTTAATTTTGTAATAGATGTAGTTAGTTGGAATAAATGTTCAATGTTTAATGAGGTGATTTTAAATAAAGTGTTTAAATGTACAGACTATTAATGTAACAAAAATAAACTGTAATTGTGTTGTGTGCTGAATTGGATCCCATTACTCACCGCATAAGGAAGAAATTTCTGCGCCCAATCTAATTTCAACCAAGAAACCAATCCTGGAAGGAAGAACCAGTTCCGAGGTAAAACAGTTATTTTTTCCCAAACATTTAATGGCACCCTAGTGTATACGTTTGCGATGCGCTTTGTGGATAGCTCTACTGTACTGTTAGTATTTTAAATGTATTTGATTTTAACAGATTCAGGTTAATTTGGAAGTTGAGAGATTATCCTCCAGCAGTTGGTCGGTTTCGTCGACCCTTGCCATGAGTCATTACTTTCAGAAGAATCAGAAGTTCATGAGGAATTCATGAGTGCGAATAAGAAGCTGAACAAGGATTTTATGAACATTATCCACTCAAGTCCGAACTTGTTCTGGATGTGTGACGAGTTGTAGCCGTCACTGGTCGATCTCGGATAAGTATGCGGCTTAAGCGCCACTCCGGTAAAGGAGACCGCATATCATGTTGAGTTTGCCCGGATGAGACTGCCCCAGGGCGAGTACAAGAGTAATCTTCGTAAAAAGAAGAGATCGAGCCAGCTTCACTACCACCGAATTTGAACGGGTAGGAACCCTTATTGCAAAAACAGCATAATCTCTCACACCTCGAAATATTTCCCCAAAGCACACAAACCTAAAACGACGTTACACGTCAAGCTTTCCTCATCGGTAGTTCCACCTATTTCCACCAGAGGCGCAGTTGCAGCAAAAGAGGTACGCAACATAAAGTCAAACTCCGACCACGTGGAAGACAACAACCGAATTATACGGACCCGAAACAACGTGAAGACACTTTCTTCCTCTCATTCTAATTTTTATTTTTGTTTATCAATTTATTTGATAAGGCTCAACCGAATTAACTTTACAGAGCCGAGGATTCTTGGTCACTTTACAATACATCTTAAAACTATAGTCAAAAGGTACAATACAATAAACACTTTATCTTCCGCTATCCAAAAAGCCTCTTCCATCAGAACTGGAGCCGCTTCCAGTAGTTTCATTGTATGGCAAATTGTTGTACGCCAACGAGGGTCAGAGCGCGTCCATTGCAACAATGGACGCAAAACGTGGTCAGCACTCACACACTCATCACGAAACGGTTGCTTTCCAAAGTCGACGACGCATCGACCGAAAGAACTGCTGATGAAGAACAATGAGTAGGACCACACAATGGTTGCTGCCGAGAAAACAGACGATCGCGTAGCACACATCGAGAGTGGCCTGCTTTTGTCGACAGCCGAGTGAACACTGATTCTAATTTTTAATAGGACAACATTACATCGAAATCAAATCAAACATTTATTTCACAACGGAAAACGGTAAGCTTAGATTTTATTATAACTAGAGCGTGCTTTCACGCTAACTTGAAAGTACCCATTAATGGTTGAAAAAGACCCATTTTGAAGAAAAGTGGCTTAACTCATTAAATGAGTAAATTTTTTACCCATTAATAAGTATCTGTTACCCATTAATGAGTAATTGTTAATCATTAATGGGTAACAAATACTCATTAATGGGTAAAATTGTTTAATCATTAATGAGTTAAGCCACTTTTCTTCAAAATGGGTATTTTTTTACTCATTAATGAGTAAAAGTTAGCGTGTTCACGAAATTTCCATCGCTTTTATCTTTCTACTCCTCTTTATGATCTTTCTCTACCTAGTCCTATTCTTGTGTGCGTAACTACCTTCTATCTCTGCTGTGCTCTTGTGTTTCTTCCTGATGAATCCCACGACGATGCAGCAAGCCGGGAACGGCAAAGCTTAGCACCCCGGTGTCTAACTCTGGGGTGGGACGTGCTGTCAAATCAGCCTACTGATCATTCTTGTATGAAATTGGTTCCAAACGTAAACAAACCCTGTAGGTTTCTTATGAGTTTTTTTACGTTTGGAACCAGTTATGCGAGATAGGCGACCATTGTTCGTATTTGACAGCCACCTCCCCCCCTTGGTCTAACATTGATGGGTTGGGTGGGCATCCATATACGACGATACGTGCGCACGTTTGTCTTGCCGACAGTTGTCTTGCCAGTCGTTCTGGTCCTGTGGTTGAGAACGGTTAAGGCAAGTATCAGGGGCGGGATGTGCTGTCAAATCGGTCTACTGATCATTCATCAATGAGATGTAAATAGGTAATGTCTACTGAATTAGTCGTTTCTTTCGTTCTCCCGCTATTTAAATGGTTGAAAGAGTGTGACGTCAAACTCTGTCACCCATTTCAACGGTCGGAGAATGAAAGAGACGACAAATTCACCTGCTTATACAAACTCATGGACTTTCCATATGTGAATTTGGCTTCAAACATCAACAAACCATCGTTGCTTGCTGTCGTTTGGAACCAGTTATGGGAACTAGGTGACGATTGTTCGTATTCGACAGTCATCTAAACCTCTTTATTGAAATCAATTCCTCGCTTGATTAGCCTCTATGTTTCAGCGCAACATCTTCTTCATCATAGACTGACACAGACAGCCTTTCCGATTGCCAAACTATGTGATCCGATGAACTTGTGGTGTGTTATCAAAATGTTCGTGAGCTTGAGCTTTAGCTTGAGCTTGATTGATCGCCCACGGTTGCTACTCTGTTACTGCCAGATCAGCTGTAATTACACAGAGAACCAATATACGATGCTTGGGACTAGCAATAATCCTCAATGTGTAAAAACTGGTGATCTTAAATTAGGCAATACCAGCACTGGCCGCGCCCGAACACAGGTCAAGAAAGGAATGGGAAGGATTGTGTTGACATGACACTCGCTTTGATGGAAGCCGAGAACACCTCTGCACTTCCACGAGGAATCATTGGGATGTTGGATAAGAGGGTTGGGTTTGCAGCAGGGTTCGTTTTGGTAAACGATAAGGTGAATTGATGTCCTAACGATCATATAACGCGAAGGAGCTTGGGACTAAACCCACGGTCTTCTGCTCAGTAAGCAAAAACGTTTGCCACTAGGCAGACGAGCACCTTTTTAATCACCGAGTTG